TAAAGAAAAAAAAATCGAAACAACTATAACTTACTATTCGAAGACGACGACGGCGGCGGCTTTGGGCGACGTTGGGCGGCGTTCGGCGGTGTTTGGCGTCGGCGTCCGGCGGCGGCGATGGTTGGAGCGGCGGCGGCGGCGTCGGGCGGCGTGGGAGGGGTGGACGGAGGGAGGTTTGAAGGTTTGGCCGTGTTTTTTTTTTGTGTTTGATTTTTTTTTTCTTTTTTTTTATTTGGTTTTCAAATAGGTAATTTCAAAGAAAAATTGATGTAATTAATATTTTGTATGAAAGGGTATTTTTGTACTTTTATTTTTATTTTGGTATTAAAGTAAGAAAAAACTTATAAATATATACTCAATTGTGGTTTTCAACTTGGTAGTATTCAACTAAGCAAAAGTTGGGATTTAAAATAGTTGCCCCCTTCTTTAAATCACATATATTTAGAGACTTACTTTCAATTAAAAAAAAGAATGACACCCTTTTCAAGGTACTCTATCTGAAAACAAATAAATAAGATAAATTATTTATTTCTTCAAAATTTATTACTCAAAAACAAAAATATTGAAATATAATTAAAAAAAAAAAGAAAAAAAGAAAAAAAAAAAAGAATTTACAACAATTCAGGAAATCAGGCGCGCATATACAATTCCATGATCGTCAGCATTAAGGTCAAACCCACCCCACACACACACCTAGCCCAAATCTCGACAAGCACTATATTTTTCTCTCTCTAAAAAAATGTACTAAATTCGACAAAGACTGCTTTCTCTCTCTAAAAAATGCACTAAAAACTCCAGTTTCCATCTCTCTAAAAACACTTTCTCTCTCTATATCTTGCCAAAAACATATATTTACATACATCGATACATACACCAAAAGAATTAAAGCACACGTATAGTCTCTAATTCGTCAGAAATTGATTCATCCCTTACTCGATTTGAAAAAAAAATAAAAAATAAAATCCCTAATCTCACTTGAATCTCAATCCTTTTTCCCCCTTTCCACTACCCAATTTCATCTCTCCCCAAATCCTTTGATTCGAGTTCGCCTCTGCAAAACCCTAGCTTTTGGCTTCTGTAGCTATTCCGAACTTCGGAGTGACAACTCATTGTCTGTGGGGATTCGTTCGATCTTAGTATTTCTGTCTTGTGTTTATCAGGTATGCTGTATTTTTTTTTTAAATATTACAGTGATTGGATATGAAAATCTCTCCTTAGCTACATAGTTGTTGGGAATTTTCATTCTCGGAAGTATGGGAGTGATAATCGCTTTTTCTGTTCTGTTTTTGGTAGAAGTCAGATGATTGATTGGCTGAAGTAGCAAAGTTTTTATCTCTTTTTTTGTTTATTTGTTTGTTTGTTGTGGCTGCCAAGAAATGTTAACGGGAGAATGCATGAGCTCGATTGGTGTGATCCAGATATTGTTTGTCTTCTATAGGGATGGGTTTTCGTTTATTTCATTAGTTGAATCTGAACTCTATGAAATTACTAAATTAAAAATTGAAAATTTGGAATGAATTTGTTTGGTCTCTACGACGAGCATGATGTAAAATTTTCAGCTAGGGCAGTCTGTCGTGACGGAAGCAATATGAATTGCACTTTTTATAATTCTCGATGCTGATACTGTTAAATCATTTTCTTGAGTTGTTATCACAATATGAATTAGCTGTCATGTACTCATGTTCCAGTTGATCGTTTCTTCTTTACTTGATATAACTTCTGTCTAATGTATACTTACAACTGTCCTATAAATAGTGGCAATCTTTTGAGGAACTACTCTCAGAGATAGAACGACGTATATTTCGTAGCGATTTGATGGTGGTGGCAGCATGCAGATGATTGTTGGAAGAGATGCAAAGGTATCATGCTGGAAACTGCACTAGTGCAGTCAATAATAACAGTACGATTGGTGGAATAAGAGATACATCCCATATCGACACACCTGCAGTGCCATCTAACTTCTCGCTGAATCCGAGGTAGTTAGTGTTGTATTTTTATTTATACATTATGAGTTGTTACATATACATGTGCATGTGGCAGTTTCACCTTGTATGCAGTGGGTTATAATTGATTTAGATGAACGTAAATTCTATGTCCTTTCAAAAGTACAACTATTCTGCTGTGAGTAATTATTATTGTCAAGTTAGTATAGGTGCACATTTGACTCAGTTGAAGTCATTCCGCTAATTGAATTCAGTGTTAGTATGTTTCTGATCCGTTAATGTTTCCCCTCTCTAAAATGGCGGTGTCCTTTTTCACCTATGCTATTCTAACATGTCAAAGATAAGTACATAATCTGCTTTAAGATTTTTATCAGTTATTACCATATTTCGGAAATGACAGTGATTGGGAAATTTGGATGGAAATGGCCAGATCTCTAGAAGCCGAGAACTATTTTTCATCATAGTTTATTTAAGAGTTCGCTAAATAGATAGGGACTGATGCTTAATACTTATAAATTGTATAAATAGATGGTAATCTATTTTTTCTCCCTTAAGAAGTACTGTTTTTAATGCTCTATTCTTTAATCACTATGTATAGATACAAAAACAGAATTTACAATTTTTTTTCAGTTATTTAATCTCGAGTATATTTTTGTTGTGTTCAGGCGGCCATCACAGATAACCCTATACAAATTGAGGTGTGATAAGGAACCGTTGAATTCCCGGTAATTACTATGTACCTTTGAACCACTTGTGTTTTTGTGTTTCCGGGACTTTGAAAGAGGAATCTGGAACAATGTTCTTATAGTTAATATTTCTTATAGTTAATCTGCACAGCCATTGAGTCAGAGCATTATAAAGAATACCATGTTACTATTTATCTTTATTATCCTTCGGACCCTTTCCGATACTTTCATTATGATTGTACTCAATGTCATTTTGATTATATCCATCGTCCCATCACAATTACCTTACCCCAGCACTATTCTTTGGTGATAGACTTGGGCCACCTGACTTCCACCCCCAGACTCCAAATTGTCCAGAAGAGACGCTTACACGGGAATATGTACAGGCTGGTTATAGAGAGACTGTTGAAGGACTTGAGGTAGTGTTTTCAATTCCTTTATGAATATTTTTGGTTTTATGATTTCTTTATTGCATTTCCGTTGTTTGTGCTTACATTTCTTTCATGTGAGAAACTACCAGGAAGCTAGAGAGATTCCTTTATCACAGGTTCAGGCATTCACGAGGCCTGTCATTTTTAAGTGCAAAGAGGTGTGCAATGATATAATTAAGAAGATATGTAGTTTGTTATTTTCTATGAGCTTCACTGTCATACTTGTATTTTGCTTTTACGGGTGATATTAAATTGCTAATTCATTTCTAATTTTTTTTAGGCCATCAGAAAATGTCATAGAGCTATCATTGAGTCTCGTACCAAAAAAAGAAAGGTCCAAAAAAATTGTTCATTTTTTATGCCTTCCACATATTGATATACCATCGTGATGGAAATTAGTTTATCATATATTCTCCTTGTGCAGGCAGGGCAAGTTTATGAAGTACCACTTTCTGGTAATCTACTGATCAAGTCTGGTATATTCCCTGAGCTAAGACCATGTGGTGAAGACTTCCGAAAGAAATGGATCGAGGTTTGTGTTTCCGTCCATTGAATTTATGGAAATATTACATGTAAACCTCAATCTCGGTTATAAAATAAATCAAGTTATATGTGACCCATGTAATAGAAGTACGCGACACACCCCATCCCTCCTCCACCAAAAAAAAAAAAAACTGTTGAATCTACTCTACTGATGGAAAGGCTATTAGAAGGTGATAATAAAATCAGTTACTTGAATATAGAGGCTATACTCTGCTAGTGTCCTGGTTCCTTCTAGCTTGGATGACGTTGCTCTTTAAATATAGTATCCTTTAGACAGCAAAATAATGATCATAGTGATTTAGGTAGATATAAAGTTTTAACCAAAAAGCTGTTCATTTTTTTCTGCATCATATAATTTGTCCTAGGCCATATAACCGATAAATTTGGATTGGTTGGTTTGATTCAGTTAGGTATTTTGCTAGTTTGAGTTCTCCTTGTTTTGAAGTTGTTTGCTGTACAAGGATTGGAAATGTTTTGAGCAAACTAATGCTCATCTGTGCTGGGAATTGCAGAGAAGGATATCGATAGAAAATTTGATTCATTGCCTGCATTGATTTATCTAAGTATTCTGCTTGAATAAAACTCCACATCATTGTGTGTCTTGCAAGCTTGGACTTCTTAAGTATCATGTAATCACTCAATTTTGGGACATTATTAAAACTGTCAGTTTCTTTGCTTAATGATGAATATGTTCTGTTTAATGAACACTATTGAAGCTTAACTTATGTGTCCTCCATTTCCCTGCCGCTGGGGCTTTTGATGTTAGTTTGATGCTTCTTCGTGTATTCTTTGATTTTTATCTATCTCAATATTTTTAAGTGAATCAGATTGCTAAAACATTTGTGAGCTCCCCTCCAGGGCTTATCTCAACCGCATAAAAGACTGCGTTCATTGGCCGATCATGTCCCTCATGGTTATAGGAGGAAATCTCTTTTTGAAGTTCTAATTAGAAACAATGTTCCGTTATTGAGAGCAACCTGGTTCATCAAAGTAACCTATCTTAATCAGGTATGTGTTCTCGGTGAAGAGAAGAATTGATTGCCAGGATTGTCCATAAATGAGTTGGCTTTTCGTATATATTGGAAGTTACAAAGTGTAATTTTGCAGGTTCGTGCGGCATCTTCTAATTCATCGTCAAGTTTTAATGGAAAAACTCAATTTTCACGTTCAGAACAGTGGACAAAAGATGTCATTGAGTATTTGCAATATCTCTTGGATGAATTTATGGCAAGAAACATTTCTCATTCGACTTTGCATATGCGAGAGCGGTCGTCACAAATTTATACTGGTTCAGTGCAGCCACAAGGTGATTCTTTTTCAGCTGCCGTGGATGGTGAGGAGCCTTCACTATACACTAAATGGTGGTATGTGGTGAGGATTATTCACTGGCACCATGCAGAAGGACTTCTTGTTCCTTCTCTCATTATCGATTGGGTTCTTAATCAACTCCAGGTAATGTTCTACTTGTCCTTTTCTTTCCCTAGATAGGTTAAATATTTGCTTAATATATTTTGTTTCTGATGAATATGTTTTGTGGGTTCGAAGCTCTAACTCATGAAATCATGTCATTGCAGCAAAAAGAATCGCTCGGTGTTCTACAGTTGCTATTGCCCATCATATATGGAGTAATAGAAACTGTTGTATTATCGCAGAACTATGTACGGATACTGGTCAAAATAGCCATTCGGTTTATCCAAGAGCCTTCTCCAGGTGGTTCTGACCTTGTTGATAATTCTAGACGTGCATATACTACTAGTGCTATTGTGGAGATGCTTCGATATTTAGTACTAGTTGTGCCAGATACTTTTGTTGCTTTGGATTGTTTCCCTTTGCCGGTGTGTGTGGTAAGTCATGTGGTAAATGACGGAAGTTTCTTATCCAAAAAAGTTGAAGATGCTAGGAAGGTCAAGGGTGGTCGAATTGGAGCTGGAGATAAAAATCAAGCTGATTCCTTGTCCTTCCACAGTGTTGTTTCATCGGTTAAAAAACGAGCCGAGACTCTATCGACAGCAGCCAGGCCAAATCATTCTGGTTATAATGTAGCTAAAGTCTTGCAGATGTTGGACCAGGCTCTCGTGCATGGAGATATTGGAGGTTCTTATAAATTGCTCTTTGAAAATCTTTGGGATGGAGCTTGCGCTGAAAATTGGCTTACAAAAGTGAGCCCTTGTTTACATACATCGCTTAAGCATATCCGTTCGGTGACATCATCATTAATTTGCTCCATCTTTTTCGTATTTGAGTGGGCGACGTGTGAATTTAGGGATTTCCGTACTGCACCTCCTCATGGTCTGAAGTTTACTGGTAGGAAAGACCTCTCTCAGATATTAATCGCAATACGTATTTTAAAACTGAGGGTAAGTAAGATGCCAAACATGTACACTTCGAAGCAGAGAAGTAGAAACATTCCTGATATATTTGAGAGCCCTGGCCCTTTGCATGATATTATTCTATGTTGGATTGATCAGCATGAAGTGCATAACAAAGAAGGTTTCAAGCGCGTGCAGCTTCAAATAAGAGAATTGATCGTATCTAAATTTTTCAATCCTTTGGCATATGTCAGGCAGCTAATTATAAGTGGAATCATGGATGAAAATGGTCCCATGGTTGACCTGGAAAAGCGGAAGAGACATTACAAACTCTTGAAGGAGTTGCCTGCTGCTTATATCCGTGATGCTCTTGAAGAAGCCCAAATTGCCGAACCATCAATCATACTGGATGCGATTAATATTTACTCAAATGAACGTAAAATGGTGCTTCGTGGGCTTTTAGGAAACAGAAAATCCAATCCTAGTGCAAACGGTTCAAACAAGAGGCAGGCACATCAAAAGAGTTATCGAAGTGGAAGTTGTTCTCCATCTTCTGTTGAGCGGTGGTACTTTCAAGAAGCATCTAATGTTTCAACGGCAAATCTTGACACGGATACCAAGCTTGAAGAACTGAAGGCCTCGATTTCTGCACTATTGCAATTCCCTGTTCCCTCATCTTCAATCGATAGTGGAATTAATGAATCTCAAGGGAATTTGAAGAGGTCTGGTGGGGGTTATAGCGGAGCAGATGTTAGCGAAGAAACATCTGGATGTGAAGAATGCAAAAGGGCGAAGAGACAAAAAATAAGTGAAGAAAGGAGCTCGTTGCTTCAGTCATATCCTGCAGATGAGGAAGAAAAATGGTGGGTAAAAAAGGGGGTGAAATATATCGAAAATTCCCGAGTAGAACCACCCCCTAAACCTGTGAAACAGTCATCGTCAAGGGGCAGGCAAAAATCTGTTCGTAAAACTCAAAGCCTTGCACAATTAGCTGATGCTCGAATTGAAGGTAGTCAGGGAGCCTCGACTAGCCATGTATGTGAAAGTAGGATAGGGTGCCCTCACCATAGAGCTGGTTATGATGAGATCTCAAAACCTGTCGACGGAACCAGAAAACCACCATGTGCAGATATTGTTTTAATTCGAAAGCTACTGAAGCAGATGCAATTTATCAAGAAGAGGACTATAGCTGTATGGTTGATATCTGTTGTAAAACAGCTTATTGAAGAGTCTGAAGCTTTCACAGCCAAGGTTGGCCAATATGGTAGGCAATTACCACCAGTTGATGATCGGAGCTCCAAACAATGGAGGCTTGGTGAAGATGAACTTTCAGTGATATTGTATATAATGGATGTTTGTAATGAATTAGTTGCGGCGATAAGGTTTCTTTTTTGGTTGTTTCCAAAAGTTCCTAGCTATCCGCCTTCTACTCTCCACGGCAGGAATATTCTGACACTTCCTAAGATTGCTGAGAACCATGCCTGTGAAGTAGGAGAGGCGTTTCTTTTATCATGTATCCGCAGGTTTGCTCTTTGATTATGTCCTGTGAATTTTTTGTTTCCAGTTTTTATACCCATTGGTTATTACTTATCTCTCTTTCGGTCAGTTAATCGACTGTTTCATACTTGCTATGAACTTTCAAAATTGGGGTTTTGAAGTCTATGATGTATTGGGCCTTGGAAATGGGGAAGAGAAGTGGAATGAAAATGATTCTTTTTTTAGAAGAATGTGTTTTGAATGTTGATGCAAAGAAGTGGAAATTGTTAAACATAAGTTACAAATTTTGCATTATGATCATCCTTTTATGTAATCCTCTGTTCAAATATTTGTTAGGTCAAAAGTGGAAAAACCTTTTTGGATAAAACTTAATGTTCGTTATTTATTGGTGGTGTTATCTAATTGGTTACCAGAAAGATCGTCTTATTTTATTCTTACTCATAAGTTCTCTTTGGTCTGTTTCAGGTATGAGAATATAATCATTGCTTCTGATCTTATTCCTGAAACCTTGTCTGCCACAATGCGTCGTACTGCAGGAGTCATGGCATCTAGTGGCAGGCTATCTGTTTCACCAGCCTTAGTTTATGCTCGTCACCTACTGAGGAAGTATGGAAGTATATCTAGCATTGTCGAATGGGAAAAGGCATTTTACCCCACATGTGATAAAAGACTTAGTTCAGAACTTGAATCTGCAAAATCTTTAGATGGGGACTTTGGCTTTCCCCTTGGTGTCCCAAATGGAGTTGGGGATCCCGATGATTATTTCCGTCAAAAGATTGGCGGTGTTCGGGTATCCAGAGTTGGTATGAGCATGAAAGAGATAGTGCACAGACATGTAGATGAATTTTCGCAGTACTTTTACAGCAAAGATAGAAAGTCTTTTGGACCTGGAACAAATAAAAGTCCTAGCGTGGAGAAGTGGGACGATGGCTATCAGATAGCTAAGCAAATAGTGATGGGATTGCTGGACTGCATGAGACAAACAGGCGGTGCCGCTCAAGAAGGTGATCCTTCACTAGTGTCTTCTGCTATTGCTGCAATTGTTCATAACATCGGACAGGTTTTCGCGAAAATTCCCGACTTAACCGCGGGTAGTAATCACCTGCACGCATCTCCACCTTATGGCTCGTTGCATTTCACTCAGCGCATTTTACGCATTCACATCACTTGCCTGTGCGTACTGAAGGAAGCTCTTGGAGAACGTCAGAGCAGGGTATTTGAGGTTGCTCTTGCAACGGAAGCTTCTTCCGCTCTGATGCAAGCTTTTAGTGCAAGTTCACCAAACGAAGCCTTAAATCATTCGAATAAAGCAGTTCTTGGGAGAGCTGCAAGAATATCCGCAGCTGTTTCTGCACTTGTCATTGGGGCAATTCTCCAGGGAGTTGCTAGCCTCGAGAGAATGGTTACCCTCTTCAGATTGAAGGAAGGGTTGGACCTAGTTCAGTTTGCAAGGAATCTGAAATCCAATGTGAATGGGAATGCACGTTCTGTGGGGGTTTTAAAGGTGGATAATTTGATTGAAGTCTCTGTGAACTGGTTTAGGGTTCTCGTGGGAAACTGCAGAACTGTTTCTGATGGATTGATTGTGGATCTTTTAGGCGAAGCCTCGATTGTAGCTCTATTCAGAATGCAAAGGATGCTACCTTTGAATTTGGTCTTTCCACCAGCCTATTCTATATTTTCTTTTGTGATATGGAGGCCCGTTATTGATGGAAGTTTTGGAGCGCGTGAAGATTTCCACCACTTGTATCAATTATTGGGTGTCGCTGCAAATGATGCCATAAAGCACCTGCCTTTTCGTGAGATATGTCTCCGTGACACATATGGCTTATACGATCTCATAGCTGCAGATAACCTCGATTCGGAATTTGTATCCATGCTAGAATTCAATGGTTCGGATATGAGTCTAAAAGCTGCTGCCTTGGTTCCTCTCCGTTCAAGGCTTTTTCTAGATGCCCTTATCGACTGTAAAATGCCCCAACCTGTTGTTAAACTGGATGACAAGAATTCGGTCTCCAAGCAAGTTGAGTTGAAAAAACAATGTGGAGAAAATGTGAAAAAGCTTATGGGCAAACTTGTGCATGTTTTGAATACACTTCAACCTGCAAAATTCCATTGGCAGTGGGTTGAGTTGAGGCTCCTCCTTAACGAGCAGTCTGTCAATGAAAAAATGGAGAATGATACCTCGTTGGCCGAGGCTATAAGATCTCTCTCTCCTATTCCCGATAAAAGTACGGGTTCGGAAAATGAGAGCAACTTTATTCAAATTGTTCTAACCAGGTTATTGATCAGACCAGACGCTGCTCCTTTGTTCTCCGAGGTTGTACATTTACTAGGAAAGTCGCTCGAGGATTCAATGTTGTCACAGGCAAAGTGGTTACTGAGAGGTGCAGAAGTTCTTTATGGGAAGAAATCTATCAGGCAGAAGGTTGTTAACATTGCTGCTGGAATTAAAGAGGTCTGTCTAAAACCCCAATACTGGAAGCCATGGGGGTGGTGTCGTTCAGATACTAATAGAGTGACTGACAAGGGTGACAAATGGAAATCTGAAGGCAGTGCACTCGAAGAAGGGGAAGTTGTTGATGAAGGGGCAGCAGATTTCAATCAGCCTGGAAAAGAATCTGGCCTTTCGGACATTGAAGGTTTGACTGTCAGTCAACAGCATGTGACTGAAAGAGCTCTTGTTGAATTAATCCTTCCATGCCTGGATCAAGGTCCGGACGATTTGCGCTATAATTTTGCGAGTGAAATGATTAAGCAGATAAGTAATATCGAGCAGCAGATAAATGCAGTTACTCGGGGAGTTGGCAAACAAGGTGTAACTCCCAGTACTGTAATTGGAAGTCCTGCCAGTAAAGGTGGCAGTAGGAAGAGCGGGAAAAGTGGTAGTCCTGGAATATCGAGACAGTCAACTGGAGCAGCTGATAATACTGTCCCACCTTCTCCTGTAGCATTGCGAGCCTCCATGACTTTGCGGTTGCAATTCCTGATTAGATTACTCCCTATTATTTGTTTGGACAGGTAATTTTATTTATGTTCGTAACTGTCTTATATTACAATTTCTTTGAGCATCTTTGTTATGTCAAAAAAAGAGAGGTTTCAGCTTGTTTCTAAACCCCAACTAGAGTAATTTTGCTTTTTTTTTTTTTTTTCCATCGGACATGCTAAATAGATCTCTAATGCCTAGTTTGGAATGTTGATGGGATTGGTCAGGATTATATTGTCCACGATAATCTAATGTGTGATTAACTTATGTCTGGCGTTATACATACAACTCTTGTATTGGGTAATATCCTTCATATGATTGTTTCATAATAGTGGTTGAGTTTGGACTAAATATACTTCATATGCTTGATTAAAGTCCCGGTTTTTTTTTTATCATGGCCTTGAAACCTAAACCGCAAACATTTCGAAGGTATCTTGTTTAGGTTTGAGTCTCTTTATATCCAGGCTGTCCACTTTGAACTACATAGTTACCTTTTCATGTAACAAAATTTGCCTTCTATTGAATATATTTAATATTGATGCATGAATGAACTACCCCCTTTCAAGCTTTTTACCTGTGAATTACTGAATTTGCTTTGATCCAATTATAATTAAGAATTCGGTTTAGTATGCTTGAATACACACTAGCTGATTGCCTATAAATACTATTGATCTATACGTAGGTTTTATTCCATGAGGAAAACATAACTATTTTAGTTCATGCTCATAATATCTTATATCATACTTCTCAGGGAGCCATTAGGTCGAAATATCAGATACACACTCGCTCCAGTAATTTTACGCCTCCTTGGAAGCAGAGTCGTGCACGAAGATGCCGGTCATTTTATCAGCCCCATATTTACATCATCAAAGAGAGATGTGAACCCTCTCAAGGAAGCTTCTGCAGAACTTCTATCAGGGGAAAACATATTCGATTCTCTATTGTTAGTGCTGCACGCGTTGCTGAGCTGTTATCAGCCTAGCTGGTTGAAATCGAAATCAGAATCCAAGCCCACCGAATCCAGCAAGGATTACGCTGCTTTTGATCGTGAAGTTGCAGAAAGTCTGCAGGTTCGTTTTTCTTTTTTATTCTTTCTCAATTTACATTTTGTTCAAGTTAAATCATCGTGCGATATTTTCTTGCAGAATGAATTGGATCGAATGGAATTACCTGAGACGATTAGGTGGCGGATTCAAACCGCAATGCCGATTCTTTTACCGCCCGTCAAGTGTTCGATCAATTGCCAGCCTCCATCAGTACCACCCACCGTCCTTACTCGTCTTATGCCCATCACTCAAGTAACCACGGTTAACCCTAACCATAACAATTCGAACCCCTCTCAGAGGAGCCCAATCTTACCAGGACACATTGTAAAAAACAAGCAACACGCTTTGCAATTGGAGCTCGACTCCTCGGAGATTATTGACCAGTGGACCCTTCTTGAGGAAGGAACTGGATCGGGTGGTCCACCTTTGGCCACCTCAGCTGGCATAAGCGGTAGTGGTCAGTCGAACTTGAAGGCATCCAATTTGCTTAAGGGAGCTATAAGAGTGAGGAGAAAGGATCTTACGTATGTTGGTGCAGTAGACGAGGACAGCTAATTCCACCAAAAAAATAAACAGTCTAAAAAACCCAGTTTTACATCCCCACCCCCATACCCACTCCTCGGGTTTCTTGAACATATCTTCAGTTGTTGAGGGAAATGGTTGGGGGGTGGCTTTTGTGGCCTTTGCAGGCGAGATGCTGTTTTGAAGGCAAATTCTTTATTGCGGGGCCATTGGGTTTGAACGGAAAAACGTATTCTTGGCTTACTGTGGTACGGTATTCCGAGCAATATTCCCCAGTTCTGGATGGTGAAGAATATGAGGTGATTATATAAATCGACTGAGTACTATTTTTCTTATTTTTCTGATGAGGTGAATTTTTACAAAGGGGGGAGATTTAATTTGTAGCTTCTTCCACGCTATGCAATGTGTTTTTGTTTACACAATAGTCTCGATTATGATCTCCCACGCCCCTTTTGCCACTCGCCTCTGTATGAATGTGATGATGTGGCGGAGTTGAAGAAAAAACACGGAGAGAACAAGAGAGTCTTCTAGAAGGGAAGATCCTAAGTCGTGATTGGACAGGAACTAAAGCTTGTACTCTCTAAATGGATAGGTGTTAGTATGTCATGTTGTTGTACACTATTTCAGTTGTTGTATTCTTGGAACAAATCAAATATTTCAGAATGATTTCTTTTAACAAAAAGAAGATAGTTTTTGTGAAGATATTTTTTACTTTCAGCAGTGCTGAATGAAAAAAAAAAGCTTGTATTTTTACTGTCATTGTATTTTGCAGCAGGATTTTTCCTGCACTGTCGAGAAATTGTATTCAGGTTCTCGTTTTTCGGTTGCGTTTGATGTGTTTGATTGGCTTTCATACATTATTATTAATCAAGGTCGAAATCAATGAAATCGATTAATCGAAACCGAATATCGATAAGTTGAAATTTCGATATGTCAACATCATATAAAGTTGACCAAATAATCTTGACCAAGAAAACCAAAACTTGCATAAGAAAAAAAGGGGTTGGTATTTTACAAGGCAACACACTCTATTACAATACAACATAAAGGGGGGCAAAAAGGTCCAAAGCACATGCTACTTATTCGAACACGAGATAAATTGTCTAGTCGAGATCGTCGATCCAATCACCGTATATCTTACTAATTTTGTCGGGTCCTTTCCATTTCCGTCCAGCTCTAAGTCCAGTCTTGTGTGTCACACTAGACAACCTTTGTGATGGAACATTAATATGATAACTATCCGAATTGATTGATGCAAGAACCGAGTCAACTGAAGTTTTAGCAGGTGTTGACCATTGCTTGGCGTCGGGAGTGGTCGAATCGTTCACCTCCGAATCCAACGGTCCTCCACCGTATTGATGCAGTTCTGTTTTTTACAGAAATATATCATGATTTATCGAAAAAATAAAAGACTTAGAATGATATAATTATCTATTTAGATCGAAGAACAGGAGCAATCAAGAACTCAAAAGACAAAAAAAAGAAATATCATAATAATAATCTTGTTATGCATACATATATTTATGACAACATGCGAAATCAGTTACAATACAAGCCTACGGCAATGACATCGATTTACGAAACTCGATCTAAAATCAGCAAATATAAAATAGCGATTAATTTCATTTAGCTCCCTTCTTTGCCGTTTAGCTAAACATAGAAGAAACAATATACTGAATCTCGAATAATCGTAAATAGAATTTTTATACCTGCAGCTCCATGCGCAAAATGGCACTTGGTTCCAAACGGACAATACCCCGTTTGCTCCCACTTATTACAAATCCTCGTTTTCCAATTCGATGGCTTCAAAGTCATCACATTTCCATTACTCCCATTACCACCACCATATCCTCCACCACCCGCTCCAGCACCACCGCCACCAACCCCGCCACCACCACCGCCGCCGCCACTGCCAGGGCCCAAACTAATCGCGACACTCTCACGGGCTTTCGACTGCTCATCGTGCAGAAAAGTGCAACTCTCACCATACGGACACCCTTCCTCGGTGTAAAACTTTTTGCAGTGACGCCCTTTATAAGACCTTTGTGCATCTTCAGTAACACCCAAAATCGGAATCTGAAATTCCTCTCTCGGCTCAGACGAAACCCCCTTTTCTTCATCGTGTGCCGCCACTATTTCTTGCCAGTTAGGTGGCGGTTTCCGAAGCTCCTCCAAGCTATGTGCGAAATTGCAATTTGTGATGTAAGGGCAAGTGCCCGCTCGGAATTTGCAGCACAGCTTAGTCTTGTAGAACATCTTCCCAATTGCTTTCGACCTATTATTGGAAGCTACTAAATCCCCCGATTGGGAGTTTCTTGATCTTTTATTCGGGGGCTCGCTCCCCGATCGGGATTGCGAAACCCTAATTTCGTAATTATTCGAATCGAGGTCCATCGAAATTTCATTATTCCACATTCCATAATCGTCTTCGGTGGCCCAAACTGCCTGATCATTAGAAGCCGAACCCCAATTCTCATCGACATTGTTTACGGAGTTTCCGGTGAGAATTTGCACCACATTTCCACTCGAAAACCCGTTTTCTCGATTATAATCCATTTACAAAGTAAAACCCCACTAATCAAATTTAATTCCAAAAGAAGAAAAAAAAAAAAAAACCCTTCAACCTTTATTTATTACAGTCAAGAGAAGTGAAAATCCTAGCACTAATATATCTCCTTCAGAGAGATAGAGACAAAGATACAAACTTTCTTACAACAAATTACAAAATACTGCAAATTTAGCTACAAACTACACCAAATGCAAGAAATTTCTTCTAAATTTCACTTTCAAATAAGTGGGTTTTACATATCACCCACGAGTAACACCGCAAAACCCAACTGTCTGCGTACATTTCTAGACAAGAAAAAACGAATAAAAATCTAAGCTTTATCAAGAAAAATTAAGGGTTTACCGCGAAAAAACACTAGAAGAAAGATTTACTTACCAAAATTACAAGTGGGTTCCAGATCTCACTGTCTAAAACTCGTATTTTTCTCGAGAAACTACTTGGAATGTTTCAGGCAATAACACACAAATAAATTACAGTGACTTTTATTTGACAGAAATGGAAAAAAAGACAGGTAAGAAGAGTAATTTGGGGGAGAGGAGAGAGAGAACTTTATAAAATTGATTTTTCTACTTAACTCTGGTGGACTAGTATGGATAGAATTTACTTTCCTATTTATATGTGTAATAAACTTGAATCTTCTCAAAACAAAAAAAAAATATACATAGAATTTGATTTATTGTAATTAACTAATTATTCATTTGGTTGCATGAATAGGATTAGGGGTGGGTGTTTACTCAACTTGGATCGAGTCGAGTCGAGATTTATGTGGATCGGATTTAAAAAGAGGCTGATGTGAAATCAACCTATATGAATGGATTCAAAGTGGATTGGACATTTATTGATATGTATTGGAATCACGTGGATCCGTTGCTTCTTTAACTCGATTTATGAGGTTGAATATCTCAAATTTATATGGTTTAATGTCTTAACTTAGATGGTGGAATATATGAACTCATGAGGTTCATGATTTATTTATTATATTCGACTTTTACACTTAGAGATATTCACGCTAACACATACATCACGCTCAAACACACTTTTGTACACACACAAACACACACTTTTGACACACACTTGAACAAGCACTCGCAGATACTTTTGACACACACACACACACACACACTTTTCACACACACTCTCCAATACACTTTTTCGTACACACATACACACTTTTGACACACATAGATACACTCAAACACACTTTTTACCCGCACAGACTTTTGACACACATATACACACACTCACACACATTTTTGACACACACATATTACATATATATGGTTAGTGCTACTTTTTACTATTATCTTTTGCCCTTTTTTCTCTCTTAGTTTTGTATTGAACTAAAAGTAAAACACAATTGTATCGGTGCGTGCAATCGTGCAATCGAGAGAGAGAGAGGGGTAGGGCCGGGGTACTTTTCTCGATTCGATTCACTACCTCTCTTATCCCATTTCTCTTTATTCTCCCATCATAAGAAAAGAAGAAGGATGTGAAATGCATATTCCATTTCCAAGAATTGTTCTTGATCGTTGAATCTATTTCTAAACGCATCCACTTCTATTCGAGTTCGATACATGCGCGTATAGATACATGCATATTCACATCTAAATCATAAGCAACAAATTTAAGTGAAAGAAAGAAGAAAAAAAGAAATGCATTCCAACACGCTTATTTAGCTCTAACTACCAGTGAAGCAAAACACGCTTTTATTGCCTGATGAGTTGTCCTAACGAATTATGGGGGTCACGAAATTGTTACCTGCAAAAATAAATAAATAGTTCCAAAATTAATAATTAATATTTATAATACACTTCAAAAAAAAAAAAACATTATTAATATGACCATACCTCGTGGGTCCCACCCATTTTCCCGTGACTGGGCCCCACACATTGGCACCGTGTGATTCGCACGTCCGAAGATAAGTGTGTGTCTAAACGCGTGCCAACCTCCCTTTACACACGCTTCCCTCGTGCGAAACCCTCCCCCCTTTTATACCCCCTCCGCCGCATCGCCGCCGCGAAACACCCCGCCGCTCCGAGTACACTCGATCTGCTACTTTTTTTTTTTCCTCCGGTTCCGTGAATTTCGGCTTGTTCGTCGCTTCCGCTCACCTCCGGTAAGTGTGATTTCGTCGCTAACTTATGTCCGTACGCCGTTTGGATCTGAGAGATTGTGAGTTGAGCTGCCTGATAATACTGCAGAATACATACAGCTTGATACTGTATATATATATTTTTTCTGTTTGGTTTTATATTTACCAGTGCATTTTTACTTGAGAATGATTTTTTACTTGATTGAGGAGGATAACTGAGCTAGTGAGCTGTAATTCTAGTGAGAGAAACTGAAATCATGTAGTTACTGTTTTGCCTTATGTAATTGCAACTTAAGGAGTAGTTTTCGAAAATTTGGTGAACTAATAAAACGATACATTTTTTTTCGAATTTATTCGAAGACTATCTTGACATTGTTTTCGCTTCCTATAATTTGTGTCAGATGCTTTTGAGCCAACCAGTAGGTATTATAGTTAACGTGATTATGGACGCACGCATCTGCTTTCATGGAAAGTAAGCTACGGATACACAATGTTGGAGGTGTAAACGGTGACAAGATGATTATCTATTTTTCGTAGCGGAGAATACGAACCGGTGGATAAGAGAGAAAAAAGGTGATGGCAGCGGAGATACAAAGATTTGCCATAAGTGAAGAAGATGATGATGAAATGGGGATGGATGTGAAGGAGGAAGACGACGATGACGACGAAGACGATGATGATAACGAAGATAAGAACATGGTAACATCAAACCCTTCGGCGGTGGTTGGTTCAGACGTTGGCGTTTTGTCGACAAGCGGTAGTAATAGGTTTGTTATGCAGCATAACCAACAATATCAAGATCAACAAACTCCGCTAGGAGGGTCTCGGAGATGTAGGCCACAGGAAGAGAAAGAGCGAACGAAGCTACGTGAGCGGCAGCGCCGCGCGATAACGGCAAAGATTTTGGCTGGGCTTCGTAGACACGGTAACTATAATCTTAGAGTTAGAGCCGATATTAATGATGTCATAGCTGCTTTGGCGAGGGAAGCCGGTTGGGTTGTTCTTCCGGATGGAACCACCTTTCCCTCAAGATCACAGGTACTTATCACTCTGGTGAGGGATAGTAATAAATCTTGAATTTACTCGTGCACTATGGCCATATACTCTTGAATTTTGACTTTATTATTTTAATTCAATGTACGCAGAATACAAGAACTACTGGTGGTGGTGCACCAACTACGGCTGTGACGTCATCATCTGCACAAATGCCAGCACAACATTCGTCTCCTAATTCATCGAGAGGCATCTCTCCAGGCTATAGGGGCGCGGTTGATTATAATGCAACTCACATGAAAGTTGGTCTGCCCCCGACTTCATCTTCGTACGATGCATCAAATGGCGCTAGGTCTCAGACATCAGCTATGATTGGGGATGGAGGTGACCTACATAATGATCCTCTTCTTGGAATCTCCATTGACAACGACAACAACAGGCAGGTGAGATATTTGGCCTCTCTATATTTAGATTGGTTCATTTGCCTTTTGATTTTCTTTATAGTTTCAGAATATTTTTGTCATGCTTGGGATATTTCGTACTCGTCCGATCTAAGCCTGTACGCAATGCTGGTATAGAGATGTCTGATATTCTTTGTTGGCTTTTCTATTTCTCTAGGTTGTTGACATGCCAACAAAATTACAGGAGCGGGATTTCGCCGGCACACCTTATGTTCCAATTTATGTTATGCTGCCTGTGAGTTCTCCGAGTTTGTTATCGTACTTTTTTCTGTGCAAGTCCGTGTCACGTACTTTACAAAAACTAGGATTGTGTGTCCTATCTGTTTCGTCCCTTTGTCTTTTTCTTTCTCCCTTCTAATTCGTAATTTTGCTCGATCTTTTTTTGGTTTAATTAAATGGCGTGTAATTTCTTGAAATGTGAGCTTGTTGTAATGCATGATATCAGTTGGGTGTCGTCAATATGAAGTGTGAGCTTGTTGATCCAGATGGTCTAGTGAAGCAATTAAAAGTCTTGAAGTCAATTAACGTTGACGGTGTTACGGTTGACTGTTGGTGGGGTATAATCGAAGCACATGCACCCCAGGAGTACAACTGGAATGGCTACAAGAGATTATTTCAAATTCTAAGGGAGCTGAAAATGAAACTTCAGGTGACTATGCATATCACTTACTACTTAGCTTTCAATTAATTTGCCTTTCAATCGGCATTTTTCTAGTTGTGGATGATTTAATCTATTGGCATTGTCACTCGATAAAAAATATAAGATCCAATCTCGACTCTTTTGCTAAGAAATACTACTTTTACTCGTTTGCCGTTGCTTTGATATTTCTTTCGAGCTTTTGCAAACACTAGTAAAGATTTACAGTGAAAACAGGTAGTGATGTCCTTTCATGAATGCGGAGGTAATGTCGGGGATGATGTGTGTATCCCCCTACCCCACTGGGTGGCTGAAATTGGTCGAACCAATCCGGACATATTTTTCACAGACAGATCCGGGAAACGTGACCCGGAATGCTTGTCTTGGGGGATTGACAAGGAAAGAGTTTTAAGGGGCCGGACTGCCGTAGAGGTACTTAACTTATTATATTAACCACCATTTTAGTTTTACGTTATTTGTTAGTTATTTTTGTAATTTGGAATACATTTGTAGGTCTACTTTGATTGCATGAGAAGCTTTCGGGTTGAATTTGACGAGTTTTTCGAGGACGGTATGATATCTATGATTGTAGTTGGACTAGGACCTTGTGGAGAGTTGAGATACCCTTGTAACCCTGTGAAGCATGGCTGGAGATACCCCGGCATCGGTGAATTTCAGGTAGTAATCAAGATATTGTCAAAATTCATTTCAAGTTTATTACGATTTTTTCGTTTCTAATCCATATATTGTTTCACCATTTGCAGTGCTATGATCAATATATGTTGAAAAGCTTGCGTAAGGCAGCTGAGTTAAGAGGACACTCTTTTTGGGCTCGAGGGCCGGAAAATGCTGGTTCCTACAATTCACGGCCACACGAAACTGGATTTTTCTGTGATGGGGGTGATTATGATGGCTATTACGGCAGGTTTTTCCTTAATTGGTATTCTCAGGTTTTAGTTGACCACGGTGATCGAGTCCTTTCTCTGGCCAAATTAGCTTTTGAAGGAACTTGCGTTTCCGCAAAGGTGAGATTCTTTGAATAGGTTGACCATGATAAGCATAAATCATTGTATTTGTTTCTATCCTTCCTCCCCTATTTTGCTTATAATTAACTAGTATTCTGTTAAAGGGTGGAAATTGGAACGGAATTTTCGATCCAAAATTTTCTGATTTTGGAATGTTTTTAATTCCGAGTTCTGAAAATTCGATTCTGATTTTTTCCGAATGTTTTTGGATTGGAGTTGGAATATATACGAGAGTCTGATTTCCGGGTCCGATTTTAATTTCCGAAAATTCTGATTTTTTTTTTCCGGAAATTACACTTACAAGATCAATATTATATTCATTTTGTATTTTAAATGACTCAAAAATTGGAATTTTCCGGTCCGAAAATTTCCGATTTTGGAACGAGCTTTTTCTTTCCAATTTCCGAATTTTCCATTTTTTTTAAAAGAATTGGAATTGATTTTCTTCACTTCCGAAAAAAATGGAATATTTCCAAAAATGCTAATTCCGATCCGATCAATCCAATTTCCACCTCTAATGCTGTTGTTATATATATACCCCTAAACTAAATTCTACATATCCAAATTTGGATTTTCCCATAAGAATATTGTTTGAACTTTGATCATCTTCACCACTATCATTTCATGGCCAAGTAAAATTGGAATCTTCGTAAAGCATTACTCTATTTAAAAACATTTTGCTGTATTTTAATTTTGAAGCAGCTATCCGGTTTTCACTGGTGGTACAAGACAGCTAGTCACGCAGCAGAATTAACTGCCGGATTTTATAACTCCTCCAATCGTAATGGCTATGCTGCTATTACGGCAATGCTAAAGAGGCACAAGGCTGCTCTATGCTTTACATGTTCCGAAACGAGCATAGATATGGACTTGTCTCAGTCTCTGTCTGATCCCGAGGGATTATCTTGGCAAGTAAGTATTAGTAACATTCCTTTATTTATTATAGGGTAAGTTACAACCACCCCCTGAGGTATGGTCAAATTACGAAAACCCCCCTCCCGTTTGGGTAATTACATCCACCCCTCTACTATAAATCTTCTTACACGTCCTGCGTCCACCCTTGCGGTTTCAAATTTTGTGGAATCTTCTAGATTATATGGAATATTCTCAATTTTGGACCCGTTTTATCCCATTTGGGCTCCACATTTTGAAGCTAGATGATCATAAAATGTGTTTTTTGGCTTGTATATATCAGATTGTGGTGCATCAGAAACTGTATTTTTGCACAAAACGAGTACAAACTAAAGAATATTCCACGGAATCTAAATGATTATGTTGAATTTGACACCATAAGGGTGGAGATGTAAGAAAATTCATAGTTGAGGGATAGATGTAATTATCCAAGCATGAGAGTTTTTTTCGTAATTTAACCATACCTCAGGGGTGGTTGTAATTTACCCTTTATTATATGCTACTCGTTTCTCGAGCAAGAAAATAAATCAGTGTTTCTTCGTTATATTAGGTTGTGAGCGGTGCTTGGGATGCTTGTATACCAGTAGCTAGTGAAAATTCATTTCCGTGCCATGACAGACAAGGGTATAGTTATTTATTGGAAAGGGCAAAGCCGATGAGTCATCCAGACGGGAGGCATTTTTCGGCTTTTACCTATCTGAGACTCAGCCCACTTCTCACCGAAAGACAAAACCTAATCGAATTCGAACGTTTTGTCAAGAGAATGCATGGTAAGATTATCTTTACCTATAGTAGAACCTCGATAAATTAACACTCGATTAAATAATAGTTTTTCCCGGTCCCGAATCGGTGAAAATGTTAAAATTATTAACTCGATAACTTAATAATTGGCTAAATTAATAGAATTTCCCTGGTCCCGACTGTATTAATTTATAGTGGTTTACTGTATTTCATGTAATCACTCTAGTGATTAAACCCATTATAGATCATGAAATACTAGGTGGTAATAATAATAATAATATGTTCGGTCATGTCTAATTTGCAGGGGAAGCGCTTCTCGAGTATCAGAGATAGTTCGAGTTTCGGACAAAGAACACTGACATTAGCTTTCTAATATAATTAGGTACACATCTGTAAAGGAATCAAAGCAAGCGATAATATCTCGAGTAATATTGTATGTAATTTGTGTGTAATGTAATGAGGATGATGTAAGAGATTCTGCAGATTAGCTGAGTATGAGGATGGGCTGTATTTATATCGAGATGATTCGACCGAATTACGAGCTTAAAATTTGGGGGAAATGATTTTAGGGATTTCGACGATAACTCTTGGAAAATTAGGGATCGAAGCACGATACAGCTACTGGCATCCGAGCAATATCGATCATCAGATTCATCACATCGAACAAATATGAAAAATAAATAAATTAGTTCAAAATTGAAAACTACACTTAAGGATATTAATATATTTGTCAAAATTCTATGAAAGATTGTCAATAGCTTCAATAAACTGCTTTTTCAGTTGGGGAGGAAACCTCAATTAATTTTCAAAAACTCTCAAATTATCTAATAGCTATTATGACGTTTTTATACTTATAAAAACACTATTTTACAGAACTTCAAAAAAATATCGAATTAGATGAGATTTAATTAATTTTCTACTGGTTAAATAATTAATTAATTAATAAGATGTTCGATTCTTTGGATCAAATCTTGTATTAAATTTATTAAATTCTAGTATCATATGCGAGTTGTCTCTAAAACCTTTTAATTAACAAAATTAACATATAAATTGAAGGATATTTTTTTTGGGTAAATTACAACCATCCCTGATTGTATGGTCAATTTATGAACTATGATTTTTTCTTACACATCAATCTTTATGGTGTCAAATTCAACATAATCATCTAGATTTCGTGGGATGTGATTTAGTTTTACTCATTTTGTGTTAAAATACAGTTTCTGATGCACCACAATCTGATATATACAAGCCACAAACATATATTGTGATCATCTTGCTTCAAAATGTGGAGTTCGAATGCGATAAACGGGAACAAAAGCTATAATATTCCATATAATCTCGAAAATTCCACTAAATTTGAAACCGCAAGGGTAAACATGTAAGAATATTTATAGTTAAGGAGTGGTTGTAATTACCCAAACATGAGGAGGGTTTTCGTAAATTGACCATACCCCAGTGTTGCTGTAATTTACCTTTATTTATTTATTTATTTATTTCTTTAATCTTCCGTTTTAAATTGAAATTTGTAGTGTTTAATGGCAAACTTTTTATAGAGGGCCCCACATCTAAGATAACAACCCAATAATATCCTATCTTAAACGACAGCGCATCACTCTCTCTAAAGATCAGTTTGGATCATAAAAAGTTGTGCATTAAATTTACGCGGGTTTCGGGTTTCACTTGCCGGAGCTAGCTATTGCCGTAATACCATAGCCATGAATGCTGATTCAGGTTAGGGTTTATTAATTTAGTCAGAAATTCCATTTACCAACTTTTTTTTCTTTTTCCCGAAGATCAATTATGGGTTTATTTTCATTTGATCTATTTGAATCTGCAGTAATCGAGTTTTTGGGGTGTGTGCCGTTGCTCCAGAGGCTCCCGGGCTCGTCTCTGAAGAAAATCGCTCAAGTGGTGTCCGTTAAACGCTACGGTAATTTGTGGGCGAATGTGTGTGTGTGTGTGTGTGTGTGTGAATGAGTTTGTGTTAGTCTTAGTATGGCATCTACTACAATCATGTATGCGTTGCTGTGGAACTGAAAAGGGAAAAATTTAAGGGATCGTTTGGCTTAAAAATCGGAGATAGTTGTGACTGTTGTAGGAATTTTGGAAATCGAAATTTTCTGAAAATTCTTGCTGTTTATCTTTTATTGCATAGAGTAAGTTTGGGTGCTTTGTTTGTTTCTCATTTCGTAATTCTAACGTCTTCCAATGCATGCAATAATTAAGGTGAGGGAGATTACGTTGTTCGAGAAGGAGAAGCTTCGGATGGGATTTATTTCATATGGGAGGGAGAGGTAATTAGTTTTCGTTTTTATCGATTATGAAGGAATAGTTTACGAATATGTAGAACGGTTTGCTGTTTTTGTACCATACTCCTCTTATTTCTTTTGTAGGCTGAAGTCTGCGGGTCGTTTCACTCCGACGATGAAAATCCCGAATTTCATTTGAAGCAGTACGATTATTTTGGCCATGGTTAGATGCCGATTCTTGAATTTCCTTATTCGTAATTTCATCTTTCGATACCATGATGTACTTATGGACTCACTAGTGCTTTATAAACTTATCTTGTCACGTTATATTGACGACTTATGTGTTAATATTTTGTTGTGTGCGCGGTTCATTTATATAGGAATATAATACTTCGCACTGCAACATGCATATTCTTGAGGTCTTGTTAGCTTTCTAGTATATTATCAATGCATGCAGTTTGTGGATGTTGCATGAGATAATTCAACTTTTAGGTGATATTGCAGGTATAGCATCATCTATACAGCCTGCGGATGTGATTGCGCTGTCTAAGGTTGCTTCTGTTCTTTCATGTAGTCCGTTACTTTCTATGGCAAATTCACATTGCTATCAAGTTAACTTATCAATGTGAGCGCTACGAGAGCTTCTGAGTTCTGACACATCTATTCACATGGCAGCTGACTTGCTTAATCCTTCCAAACGAGCACGCAGATTTGCTAAAAACGAAATCAATTTGGAGCGCAGATGAGACACAGGAGAAATGCCCACTAGTGGAGCAAATTCTTCACCTCGATCCTATTGATGTATGGTACCAAAAACTTATTGTCTTTGGCATGTATTGTTTTACCTTTTTACTGAAATTATGGCCAGGTAACTGTTACACTGATATGCAACTCGTTTTTGTTGCGATGCACCTTTGGAAATGTTGAATCATTTTTCTATATTTTTCTCTTTCTTTGACATGTATGTAGAGTGCAGTATTTGTTAGAGGCAATAACCAAGTAATGAAAAACCTGTTATCCTTGTTGAGCATGACAGAAGCAAATTAGACCCGAGGTTTAATTTACTAGGAATGCACGATACACCAATCACATCAATAAGTTAAGATGACGACCCAAATAATATTCTACAGATAGAAAAGTAACTATGCACGTATACAAAGAGTGGGAGTGAGGGAGGGTTGTTCTTAACTTTGATATTACTGCTTGAAATAATGTTAGCGTATACAAAGTTGATATAGCCTTCGGGAGTCAAGGATCTGTCAAGAACTAGCTTATTTATCATTTTCTGTAAAGGAAAAAAGAACTAATCCATCAAATTGTCTAAACCGAGAAGCTTGTAATTCGGGTACTCCAGTTTCAATCAAGTGATATTTTGTTGCTTCTTAGGTATATATGGATGAATTACTTTTCTGGAAGTTCATATGATTTATCGGATCTATAGGCCTCTAACTTTCTTATCGCTTAAGATGTTTTCGGGGGATTTCTATCCGCTAGTGATTCCTTTATCTGTTGGGTTTCATGACATTTTTAAGTCGTATTCGTTTTAATTGACATAGAGTAGATTCTTTTAAATCTGTTACGATATTTATGATTTGCGCCGAGAGATTGCTGTATTTGGATTGTGTTTTGACTTCAATAATCTTATTTTCAAGAGAGTGGTTTGTGTTTGTTTTAGGTTAACATTTTTCAGGGTATTACATTGCCAGATGCTCCAAAATTCGGAAAAGTATTTGGAGGGCAGTTTGTTGGGCAGGTGAGGTTAAGCTTTCTTCTAGAATTAGGATTTAATTTCTCTCTTTTTCCCTTTAAACCATTTTTATCCGTCGGTTATTTTTTACTGGTTGCTCACAATATCTTATGTGTGCAGGCATTGGCTGCAGCTAGTAAAACTGTCGATTCTCTCAAGATTATTCACAGTCTGCATGCTTACTTCCTTCTTATTGGTGATTTGGACCGTAAGTATTCGTAGAAAATAAATTATTTTGTTATTGCACATGTTTCTGATAGAAACATTTACTACTTGAGAGTACTTTTAAGTCGCAATTCAAGGAAACACGATTTTGAAGCCTAAGAAAGAATAATTGTCTTTGAATTTGCTCACTTCCACTTTCTCATTACAATTTATTAGAAGATTTATCTATAACAAACTCGATATCTTTATTTAAGTGAATGTTTCTAATGGTTTTCAGTACCGATTATATATCAAGTTCACCGTGTACGTGATGGGAAAAGCTTCGCAACTCGAAGGGTCGAAGCTATACAGAAAGGGAATGTTGTCTTTACATTGATTGCTTCTTTTCAGGTAACTCCGCCAATTTAGAATTTGATTCTCCTTTTGATCTACCATTTTCAGGTATACCATTTTTCCATGATTTTCGAAACTTTTGTCTAAATACTATGCAAATAATTTACAGAAAGAGGAAGAAGGATTCAGTCACCAGGTGGCAACAATGCCTTCCTTACCTGCCCCAGAAGAGGTTTCTAGAATGTTGTTTTTCAGTTTCTATTATGATTAGTTTCTTCTGTAGTGTTTGAATTTATTATTCCTTTTTCAGCTTTTATCAATGGAAGAATTGCGAGAAAGGCGCCTTACTGATCCTCGCCTTCCCAGGTTAGACTGTTGTCTTCGACTCTTCATCTTCGGTACATATGCGATCAAATTCATTTATTAAAAGAGAAATTTTAACATTTTTAGCAAAACATGTGTGCTATATAATGTATTGAACTATTGTTTGAATACCTATGAATAAATATCTTCTATATGATATACTTGAGTGTCAAAAAAATAAAACAAGATTTTACATTTAGCTGATTTTTGGCAAAATCGTGTGTTATATAGTATACAATTTTTGTGATTTTGCTTGACTTTTCAAAAAATAGTGAAAGAATTTTAGATGAACTATTGCTTGACTACCTTTGCATAAATATCTTCTATATGATATATTTAAGTGTTAAAAAAACAAAAACAAAAATATTTTACATTTCGGTGATTTTTGGCAAAGTCGTGTGTGTGAAACAATTTTAGACGAACTATATCTTGACTTCTTATGACTAAACATCTTCGATACTAGATATTCAAGTGCTACAGAATATATTTATAAAATATTTGAACATTTCAATGATGTTTAGAAAAACGCGTGTGCTATAACACTACACGATTTTTTGTGAGTTCGCTTTGCTTTTCAAAAATTAGTGAAACAATTTTAGATGAACTACTGCTTGACTACCTATGCATAAATATCTTCTCTATGATATATTTCATTGTTAAAAAAACAATGAATTTTTTTTTTTACATTTCGGTGATTTTTGGCAAAAAATCGTGTGTTGTAGACAATTTTTGTGATTTTGCTTGACTTTTCGAACTATATCTTGACTACTTATGTCTAGACATCTTCTATACTATATATTTAAGTGTTACAAAATGTTAAAAAAATATTTGAACATTTCAACGATTTTTAGCAAAAAGCGCGTGCTAAATAGTATACGATTTTTTGTGAGTTCGGTTTACTTTTCAAAAATTAGTGAATAAATATTTTTCTTACCTATGCATAAATATCTTCTATATGATACATTTGAGTGTTAAACCAAAAAAGATTTTACATTTCGGTGATTTTTGGGAAAATCGTGTGTTATAGAATACAAATTTTGTTGTTTTGCTTAACTTCTCAGAAATAAGTGAAACAATTTTAGACGAACTTCATCTTGACTAGTTATGACTAAACATATTTTATAGTATATATTTAAGTGTTGCAACATATTAAAAAACTATTTGAACATTTCATTGATTTTTAGGAGAAAGCGTGTGCTATAGTATACGTTTTTTTGTGAGTTTGCTTGACTACCTATGCATAAATATCTTCTATATGATATATTTGAGTGTTAAAAAAACAATAAAAAAGATTTTACGTTTCGGTGATTTTTGGCAAAAAATCGTGTGTTAGTATACATTTTTTGTGATTTTGCTTGACTTTTCAATAATTAGTGAAACAATTTTAGACGAACTTCATCTTGACTAGTTATGACTAAACATCTTTGGTAGTATATATTGAAGTGTTACAAAATATTAAAAAAATATTTGAACATTTCAACGTTGTTTAGGACAAAGCGTGTGCTATAGCATAGGTTTTTTGTGAGTTTGCTTGACTACATATGCATAATATCTTCTATATGATATATTTGAGTGTTAAAAAAACAATAAAAAAGATTATACATTTCGGTGATTTTTGGCAAAAAATCGTATGTTATAGTATACATTTTTTTTGTGATTTTGCTTGACTTTTCAATAATTAGTGAAACAATTTTAGACGAACTACATCTTGATTAGTTATGACTAAACATCTTTTATAGTATATATTTAAGTGTTACAAAATATTAAAAAAATATTTGAACATTTCAACGTTTTTTAGGACAAAGCGTGTGCTATAGTATACGGTTTTTTGTGAGTTTGCTTGACTACCTATGCATAAATATCTTCTATATGATATATTTGAGTGTTAAAAAAACAATAAAAAAGATTTTACATTTCGGTGATTTTGTCAAAAAATCGTGTGTTATAGTATACGGTTTTTTGTGAGTTTGCTTGACTACCTATGCATAAATATCTTCTATATGATATATTTGAGTGTTAAAAAAACAATAAAAAAGATTTTACATTTCGGTGATTTTTGGCAAAAAATCGTGTGGTTGTATACAATTTTTGTGATTTTGCTTGACTTTTCAAAATTTAGTGAAACATTTATTGACGAACTACATCTTGACTAGTTATGACTAAACATCTTTTATAGTATATATGCAAGTGTTACAAAATATTAAAAAAATATTTGAACATTTCAACGTTGTTTAGGAGAAAGCGTGAGTATACGATTTTTTGTGAGTTTGCTTGACTACCTATGCATAAATATCTTCTATATGATATATTTGAGTGTTAAAAAAACACTAAAAAAGATTTTACATTTCGGTGATTTTTGGCAAAAAATCGTGTGTTATAGTATACATTTTTTGTGATTTTGCTTGACTTTTCAATAATTAGTGAAACAATTTAAGACGAACTTCATCTTGACTAGTTACGACTAAACATCTTTTATAGTATATATTTAAGTGTTACAAAATATTAAAAAAATATTTGAACATTTCAACATTGTTTAGGACAAAACGTGTGCTATAGTATACGGTTTTTTGTGAGTTTGCTTGACTACCTATGCATATATATCTTCTATATGATATATTTTGAGTGTTAAAAAAACAATAATAAAGATTTTACATTTCGGTGATTTTTGGCAAAAAAATCGTGTGTTATAGTATACAATTTTTGTGATTTTGCTTGACTTTTCAAAATTTAGTGAAACATTTTTTGACGAACTACATCTTCACTAGTTATGACTAAGCATCTTTTGTACTATATATTTAAGTGGTACAAAATATTAAAAAATATTTGAACATTTCAACGATTTTTAGCAAAAAGCGTGTGCTATAGTATAGTTAGTATACGATTTTTTGTGAGATTGCTTTACTTTTCAAAAATTAGTGAAACAATTTTAGATGAACTATTGCTTGATTACTTATGAATAAACGTCTTTTATATTATATGTTTGTACAGATGTACTCATTGTCTTTCTAGTTCTACTTTCTGATTATTGCTTGATTAGAATTGAGTGTTTCTCATTTTAAAATGGAAGTGCTATTTGAAGCTTTTATGTGTGAATTTTCTGATTATAAGCTTTATTTGTCACAGGACATACCGGAATAAAGTTGCAAGTACTAAATTTGTTCCCTGGCCCATTGAGATTAAATTCTGTGAGCCTAATAACACTTTCACGAATCAGACAAAGACTCCCCCGAGGTTTTTTTTTCGTTTCTACCATTGTCTGTCAAATTCACTTTTATTTAATGATTTTGAAAGAATCGAAAATATTTTGCGGTTCTAATTTATATTATGTAATTGTAAATTATCTGCAGTTTAAGGTACTGGTTTAGAGCAAGAGGAACACTTTCCGACGAACAGGATTTGCATAGGTAAGAGAGTCTCTGTTAGCAGTGTCCCTTTTTGGTATGGTTGTATATGTATATGTATATGTATATGTTTGTGTGTGTGTGTTTATTCCTTGCAGATGCGTCGCAGCATATGCTTCCGATTTGATATTCCTCCAAGTCAGTTTGAATCCTCACCGAGAAAGGGACGAAAAGGGTTTGAAGACATCATGCGTCAGCCTAGATCACTCGTGAGTTTCTATTTTTATCACACTGTAACAGATTCTTTTGTTTACAAGTCTTGAATAAATTGTTTCTATCCGCGTAGAGTATAAATTGAGTTACACTTTTCATTTAAATACTCGGAAGTTTCTATTTCTGTAAGGCCAATGGATTTAATTAATACTTGTATAATCTCGTCTATTCTTTTCAGGATGTGGTTTCACAGATCTTTCCGGGCTGATGACTGGCTGCTGTTTGTGGTAAGTATAGCTATTACTCCTTAGTCATTTTACTCGTCTCAAATTCTAATTTCGAAGTGATTTTCTTACTTACAGATCAATAGTCCAACTGCTCATAGCGCACGTGGGTTCGTTTCTGGACAAATGTTTACAAAGAAAGGAGAGGTAAATTAACGACGTCTTATTCATTCATTTAAATACTTGAATTAAAATTTTCTTGTGTATATTTAATTTCTGTGAATATAAATATATCTGATAAATTTTGTTGATTGCCATGCCAGCTTGTTGTATCATTGACTCAAGAGGGTTTATTGAGGAAAGCCAGATCACCAGTTTCAGCCGTCCAATCGAAGTTGTGAAAAAAAATCCGCGTGCTGCAGTCGATGCACAAAGACGGATATTATTATGAGGTTTCGATTTGAAATTAAAATATGATAATCGTAGGCCTATGCAGAAAATAAATTGTGGTAGAGATGTAGAAGCAATTATGCCATTCAAACTTGTTAGAAATAAATATTAGTATTGTATACAAATACAATAACATCTTTTTTAGCATTTTAGTTGAAATAATGTATAAATTATTAAATATTGTATACAAGATTTGCTTGCAATACAATAAATATATTAAGACAGATTCGATCATTCGATCATAATGGCGTCTCACATAACTTACAGTAAACTTACTAAAAAAAATCCCGAAATCAAAACAAACTTGGATGTTGTTATATATCGCTTCTTTACACTAGATTACCATCTACTAAGCCTAAAAATCATCAATTTACCTCTTGTGTTGGACAACATTAAATCAACGTTTCTAGCTAATTACAAAATAAGGATATTCCGCCATACATCGAGCATGTACACAAACAGATTCCATCAAAATAAAGACCGAAAACCGAAAGATTCAAACAAAACAACTCAATCAAATAGTCCGTTTCATTTTAAAGACGGGATGAATGATTCCATTGGACGACTCTAATTTATCCATCTTAGCCATATATTCTTTCATCCTATTCAGAACAACAGGCAGTGCAGATGCATTACTTGAAATCTTCTGTTTCAAGATTCGCAGTTTCTCAGATTCTTCCGGATCATCAGTCACCGACAATGCCATGTTCTCTCTCGTTGGACCTACATAAAACATTTCACTTTTTAAACAAACCAGAAGAAATATACCCCATAAACTTATACTCGTTGATTTACAAACAAGAAAAAGTATGCATAATATGAGCTCTTCGGTGCAAACGAGATACATAGAAAATAAAGTGGAGTCGTGGACAAAAAATTGTTATTCATCATATACCGTGTATTTTTTTTTGTATTTGAAACACAAAATAGTAACAAAAGTCGTTCTCAGTCGTGTGTTGGACCATTGCACGTATCGAAACCTAAAACGAGGTGACGAAGATTGTTGAATAACGAATTTAAAACTATGGAGTCCTTCATGAACCAATTAAAAGCAAAAGGCCTACCCTACAATTATATATTAGTAATGGCATTACGAGACGAAACGAAGGTATTGTTTCGATTTTCAAGCCCCCGAGAACCTAATCTTATTGGATGTCCTTTACCTAACAAAAAGAACATGAGAATCACTCAATTGAAGGTTTCATAATGTTGTACTCAGCTCAACTCAGAAAATCCAGACAACAGAAATTTAAAAAATAACTGCAAAAAATTTCTAAAAAATCAGAAATCTCACGAGAAAAAAGAAAGAAATAAAACACTAACTGCGGAAAGAGTAATTAGTACAGAAAGAACAGTACAAACCTTGGGTGGCGCCAATTACTGAGTTCGGGTCGGGTGGTGCTCTGGTATCCGGTTCGGGCCCAGGGTCGACTAAATGGGTCGGCAAAACGGGTCTTTGAGAGGAGAGAAGAGATGAGAGTGTGCAGCTAAGTTGATCTGGAAGAGTGGTTCGGTATTCGAGTATTTTCTGGGCCATTTGCTCTACTTCTTCTTCCAGCCTTTGGATCTCTTCTTCCTCTGCAGCTTCGTCGACGGTTGACGCGTTCTCCGGTTGGTGTTGGGATGACATTGGAGCTCCGTCGGGGGTCAAGGTTTCCCGGCGCGTGAATTTCTGTCGGAGAGGAAGGGAATTTGGGGATTAGGGTTTCCAGAAATTCGAATTGTTCTTTTTTTCTGCTTCGGGATTTTGCGATGTTGGAGGGAGAAAAAGAGCGGACCTTGTATAATATTTTTAGAGATTCCAAGACGACGCCGTATTCATGCTTAACAGGTCACCAATTGATTTTTTATTTAGTCCCTGGTAACTAGTTAATTAAGTTCTGGGTAAATTACAACCACCCCTGAGGTATGGTAAAATTACAAAACTCCCCCTCTTGTTTGGGTAATTACAACCACCCCTCAACTATAATATTTTTTACACGTCCACTCTTGCGGTTTCAAATTTACTGAAACCTTCAAGATTATATGAAATATTATAACTTTTGTACCCGTTTTATCTCATTCAAACTCTACATTTTGAAGCAAGATGATCATAATATGTATTTTTTAGCTTGTATATATTAGATTGTGGTGCATCAGAAACTGTATTTTTACACAAAACGAGTACAAACTAGAGCACATTCCATGAAATCTAGATGATTATATTGAATTTGACACCATAAGGGTGGAGATGTAAAAAAAATCATAGTTGAGGGGTAGATGTAATTATCCAAACAAGAGGGATTTTTTTCGTAAATTGACCATACCTCAGGGATGGTTGTAATTTACCCATTAAGTTCTTTACTCATATGTGGACTAAATTTATTAAGTTTTTTTCTTTTTTTTTTTTGAGGGAATTTATTAAGATTTTTAAAATATATGTAAACGAATCGAGTGGAGACGAATGCTATTTATTCATGCTTATTTGACTTTTATCAACCTTTGTCTCTGCACCAAGTTTGATATGCAATTGAGTCAAGCTCGAGCATCATGACTTCTTGTACATATTATATTGAAAATCGAGGTGAGACGAGCTTTTAATGAACGAACTTGAATCGAGTATCAAACACTTTGCACTAGCATTGATTGAATATGTCACATATATACATATAATCAAAGAAGTAATACTATTTGATACATATTTATTTCCACATCTACAATTTATATTCACCTAAATAAACAAAAACAAAAATATATATATTTTCCATATATATATTAATTTTTTTTTTCTCAATCAGGCTTTCTATTTTCCAAAGAAGCTGTCCAACCATTAGGAGAGTCTCTCTTGTAGTGAGTCTTTCTTTTCGCATTTACACGAGCCTGTATCAACTTCTCGTTTCTCATTACATCTTCGATATTACTCCGAACCTTTTCGCACAGCTCATCCAGCGCAAGCATTGGGAAAGGTTCTTCAATCAAAACACCAACCTTCAAAAAAAATATCAATTAATAAATGACGAATATATATATATATATATATATATATATATATTAGTTTTTTAATTAATTTTGTTACCTCCTCAATGCAAAATAAGGAAGCAGCACTGATGAAAGTAGCAGGTACAACAATCCAGTGACAATCATCCCAAAGTATAATAGGAAGAGTGAAATGCCAAAGTACTAAAAATCTCGACGTCAATCTCGTGTACGATAGTGGAATTGGTATTCCCAAGAGTTGTTCGCACACGCCAATCCCCTCGTGAAAACAAGAAAGTTTCGATTCCTGCAAGTGTTTATCCAAACACCAATACAAAAAAAAAAAAAAAAAAAAAAATTATCAAATTTCTATCTAGAGATAAAACTGAATATAAGAAATCATTTACGGCCTCGTTTGGTTGGGACTCGATAAATATCTTATCTTGGCTGATTAATCCCATTGTGGCAACCAAAGGATTATAATTCTTGGATATTTAGCCCTTGTTCATTCATAGAATTTGATGCTTTCGATTCTTGGCAGGGGCAAAATGGGAAATTAATTACCAGAACTTGGAGCTTTGTGGGGTCCACATCGAGCGATCTGAGGCTTTGGGAGATGAACTCGATGATGCAACGGGGGCGGTGGTTTGAAGTGAGAACGACTGCTAGATCGTCTGTTTCTAGAATATTCTTGAGATCCTGTTCAATATCCGAGTCATGAATGACGTGGCACTACATTGGGAGGCGTATGTCGGTTAGTTTTCAAACAACAATAAACAAAGAAATTCGAAAAACATTATCTGCAGTTTCAAAGAATTAGCTTTCATTCGATTCTGCAGGCAAGAATTCAATTTCAAAATCCATTTGCCATTGTGGATAAGGTAAGATTTATTATTTAATCATACAATGCTAAAACCAAGTACTTGGGAAGTATTATTTCAGCCCGAGATAATATTAGGATCGATTATCTATCATGCAAATAAAGGACTACTAGTCATGGCCCGACCAATTATTATTATGGTAAATTACGGCCAACCCCTTGAGGTTAGGTCAAATTACGAAAAACCCCCTCCTATTAGGTAATTACAATCACACCTCAAGTATGAGTCTTTCTTACACATTCACCCTTATGGTGTCAAATTCAACATATTTCTATAGATTTCGTGAAATGTTCTCTAGTTTTGTACTCGTTTCATGTAAAAATGCAGTATTTGATACACCACAATCTGATAATTACAAGCCAAGAACACATCATTTGATCATCTTGTTTTAAAATGTAGAGCTCGAATGGGGTAAAACGGGTACAAACTGGAGAATATTCCATATAATCTAGAATATTCCACTAAATTTGACACCGTAAGAGTGGACGTGCAAGTAGACGAGGGGTGGTTGTAATTACCCAAACAAGAGAGGTTTATTTCGTAATTCGACATCATCTCAGGGGTAGCTGTAATTTACCCTTGTTATTATCTAATCCAAGTTTTAGAGTTCGAATCAATAAAGATTATCTTACTTCTTTATCCCTCAAATCGAACAAAAATAACTTTGCGAATGATCCTAGCTAGATAACCTCTTATCAATTCCATCGAACATTTCATGATCGTAAAATCGCATCATCTTAGATAACCTCTTATCGATTCCAACGAACATTTCATGATCATAAAATCGTCTCATATTCGATAACCTCTTATCGATTCCATCGAACATTCTAAAAAACGAGGCCTAAAGTACACAAACACGCACAATCGAATACATTCAACATCAATTACTACGAAACACTTAACCAAGAATACAACTACTTATAAATATAACCAAAAGAACTCGTAATCGAAAATGCTTCGCCATATACGTAAGGAGAAAAAAGAAGCCAAACCTTGAGAGCAACCGGAAACGCAACAACGTACTGCAGAATCGCCGTCTTAAGAACCGAATCATCGGGCCCCACGGCGCTAGCAATCACCTGCCTCGCGAAGTCGTTCGTACCCGAAACGACCTTAGTCCACGCCTTCTTCCCTTCATCGAACCTCGAGTAAGAAGCCTCCGTCCTGAAAACAAGGAGCAGAGCAAGTGCGGGGGCGGTGAGCTGGTACGGCAGGGAGGATGCCCTCAAGATGGGGAAGAACTCCGGCAGCCACGCCAGGGCCACCGCCGTGTTGTAGGTGGAGACCACCACCGCCACGGAGGTGAAGACGATGACGGGCGGCAGCAGGGAGAGGATCACGCGGGAGCCCAGGCTGGAGAGGAAGTGGCGCACGTGCCGGGAGGAGCTTCTGTGCTGAACCCAGTCGCCGTGGTCGTACAAGCTTCGTTTTTTCTCCAACCCCTTTTCTTGGATGCTGTCGACCCAGTTGGGTAGGGCTAGGAGAATTGAGAAAAAGGTCGAATCTTGATTTAGGGAGAAGTTTGAGTCTTTCGAGGATTGGCAGCATGAGAATCTGAGGTGGTGGTTGCTGCGGTGGTGGTTGTTGGAGGGGTAAAGATGGAATTTTTTTAGGGTTTTTGGGGTGAAATGGGAGGAGAGAGAAGATGAAGATGAAGATGGAGATAGTTTAGTTGCAGAGTGGTGTATAGGGTTTGTCATTTGTGGGTTTCAAGAATGGAGGTTTTCTTGATGAATGGGCATGGCAGAGTGTATGTGTGTGTGTGTGTGTGTGTGTGTGTTTTAGTGTGTGGAAAAAGGGAGGGTTTAAGGTGAGAGAAGGTGTGGAAAGATCATGGGAATTAAACATGTGACTCTGGTTTGGACACATGTTTGTAAGAGATGTGACTCAAATTATACTTCTATTTGCCATCTTGATGTAATGAACTAGTGATAGTACATTTTGGTTCAATGGATCGCAACTCGGTCTTAATTTAAATTACGAAAAAGTCCCTCATGTTTGGGTAATTACGGCCCTCTCAACTAGAAATTTTCTTACACATTCATCTTTAGAGTGTTAAAATTAGTGGAATTTTCTAGATTATGTGGAGTATTCTCTAGTTTGTAGCTGTTTTACCTCATTCAAGCTCCACAGTTTGAAACACTATGATCATCAGATATGTCGCTTGGCCTGTAAATACTAATATCACATTGTGGTGCATCATAACCTGCATTTTTTCACAAAACGAGTACAAACTAGAGAACATTTCATATTATGTAGAAGATTGTATTGAACTTGACACGTACAAACTAGAGAACATTTCATATTATATAGAAGATTGTGTCGAATTTGACACCATAACTGTGGACGTATAAACAAATTTATAGTTGAAGGGTGGTTATAATTACCCAAATATAAGGAGTTTTTTCGTACTTTAAACTTAATTGAGGAGGTCGCCCTAATTTACCCTTTTGTTTAAAATCACATTTTACTGATTTTCTTTTTGGGGTTTTATAACTGTTAAAACAAGCACGAAATTAAAGAGATATAAAATATACATGACACAAAGGTTTAGGCCCTTGGATTTTGAGTCTATGATTTTAAGACAAAATGCTAAATACAATCTTACAATAATGCAATAAGACTATACATCTCAATTTTATTTTTTTTAAATTGAGATAAAAACTCATCTTGTAATTAGTAATCCAATTATACTAGACTACAAGAGGTTCAATACTCTTTTTTTCTACATGATCTATATATTCCAAAATTCAAGGAGTATTTATTAGGTAATTTCAAATAAGCAAATTCGGATTAACCGATCCATCGAAGCTCAAGTTTCTTAGACCGACTTCTTGGTGGTCTTTGCATCTTAGACAAACCTAATTAAGGCCAATTAAGATCCAAACAAAACGAACAAAACGATGGGTCCGACAGCCACACCAACAACAATTGACAATCAAAATGTTAGGGCAATAAATCAATAGGCTATACTCCGTTTGCTGGTTAAGAACTTCACCGACAAAGTTAACTAGCAAATTCTTCAACGGCATAGAATACATTGCAATTAGGGCATTTATACTGCATCATAAACTTTGGACATGGGAAAATCGCAGTGGATGTTTTATACAAAGGCTCATTTCTTTTTTTTTTTTTTGTCCGAAAAAAGTGTTATTGAGATAAGCTAGAGAGATTACGGGTGCTTCTCGGGTACGTCGGAAGTCACTTTGTTGTTGATCTCGCTTTGTTGAGCGTCTTTCTTTGTTCCGAAAACAAAGTCTTTCACCGACTTTTCAGTTGATTTTATAGCCCTTTTTATCTGTCATTTCAAAATGTTAAAAAATAAAATGCATTAGGTAATCGAACAACTCAACACAAACGCCACAAAAAGTAAGAGAATCCCAAAGAATTTCGATAAAGTTCCAATATTGATTTTTTTTTTCACCCTAACAGTAGAACCAATGTAGTCAAAATCGAGATCTAAATCGTAAGATTTTACACACCGAAAAGGAATAAGAACGCACTGAGATCACAAGTGCCTTAAATTTCGGGTACAATCGTGTTCAAATAAATAAGTCATTACGATTTGACGATCCGATTTCACTACCCATCTCCGGTTTCAATTAAAATCCCGATTTTGACTACCTTACAGTCTTGAAAGCAGCATGTTAGCAACATATTAGTTCTAATGTTCATTTTTGTATTCACATAGATATGCGAATTTTAAGACACGCCAAAAGATTAGAATATTTGGGCGTGAAAAAAGATCGATAATACCACAAAATTCTCCAGCTTTTAAACTTAAGTGTATCTCAGACAAGTAACTTATTCGAAACTTTACAATCAGAAAAAACGATCGATGGAAATAGGAGCTGTATTAGTAAGATCCAAATTCACAAAGAGTTCTTTAGCAGCAAAATCTCCATTGAAAAGCATCTACGAAAACTGCAATTTCTCGATCCAATTCTTTAGGGCAAAAAAAGCTATTCTATTTTCCCTCTTGTGTTATCGTTCGACCTAACAAACCTAATCTCTACTCAAATCTCATTATTCCATGTTATTGATGATTCAGAGACAACCTCGAACAAAACCTTAAAATTTCGACCGATTTCAGCAGTTCAAAAAGATGATTCCTTTTTCGATTCAACTCAATCGCAACCTAATGTATCAAAACTCAAGGGTTTAACCTTTCATCCTCCAATCACACACACACACACACACACACACACACACACACACACACACACACACACACACACACACACACACACACACACACACACACACACACACTTCCAAATCCAAATCACAAAATTGACCTAATCGAAACAGCAGTAATTCATACACAAGCTAAGGGAAGCGATTCCAGAACAAGCAATCAACTCAGACAAGTAACAATGGATTAAATAGAAAAATAAAAAAAATTAAGGGACTAAAAAGCATAGAAATGAAACTTACGGGGTCGAGAAAATTAGGTTCGAGAAAATTAGGTTCGGGGCCATAATCAGCAGTGAGGAGAAAATAAGAAGCAGTGACAGTGGCGATCATGGTCGTCCTCCTCACCAATTTGTCGGTTTTTGGGTCCATTTTTTTTTATTTTTTTCACAGTTCAAATTTATCTTCAATTTTGGGGGAGCGGTGAAACGGTGATGAATGCAAGAGTATAGAACAATAATAGTTGGATATTAGTTTTTAGTCCTTATAATTTGAGATAATATGGTATTAACCCCTATTTTATTATTTATTCAGGAATGGTACATTTTTATGAGTTTGGGCCTATTACTTGGATATCTACTATTTGATATGTTGGACTAATTTTGAGCCCAATTATCGAATCCAAAAAAAAAAAAGAATTGATTATTTATTTTTAAATTAACCAACTGAACACATATGTAAAGCCCAAATTTAAATTTATTAGCGGTAATGACATTTTTCGCTCGAACTTTGACTCATTTAGCATAGGTGAACTTAAAATATTTGCATGGTGACATCCCAACTCTTTTATTTGGAGCACCGATCAAGAACTTGGCCATTTATGACCAAATTATGGCGTGAATAGTGCACGTGCCATTTACATGTATTTAAGGATGCTCAAAATCGGCTATTCCCCTTACTTTTCAGCCTTCTCACAAAAAAGATTGTCAACAAATATAATCAAAATTAACAAGTATGTTAAAACCTTAAAAATGAGGAATTATATTTCTGCAGGAGCCATATGATTCTAGTATCATATCTATTTTCGAATTTTTAACATTATTTTGAGAGAAAAATATCATAGAATTGGAAAATATTATAAGTCAATTTCAAAACTAGAGTTCATCCAAATTTGTTTCACACATACTTCTTAGTTCTTTCAATATAAAATTTGTATGGTCATTAACATATTTGTATAATTAAAACCAGTGAACAAATTAAATATCAAGGGGTCCATAGCTCAGTGGTAGAGCAATTGACTGCAGATCAATAGGTCACCGGTTCGAACCCGGTTGGGCCCTTCAATGTATATATATTTTTTTTTTCATTTTTTGCTCTTTGCGAGTGGATATCGATTAAATCTAATAAATAAATGTGAATTAGATATGCATCAAAGGGTCCATAGCTCAGTGGTAGAGCAATTGACTGCAGATCAATAGGTCACCGGTTCGAACCCGGTTGGGCCCTTCAGTATATAATTTTTTTCATACATTTCTATAAAATTCAATTTTTCGGACTTTCCCACATGAAAATTAAAATAAAAAAATAGAGAAACCCCCTTCGAAATATTTTGTTGGTTGCACTTTGCCCCAAAAACTTTTTCATTTCTTAGACAAAATACATATCTGTTATAAATATACTAAAGAAAATCAAGTAAAACAAGAATATGGGAAATCAAATGTAAGGATAATAGAACCTTTTCTTCTTATTCTTTCTTGTTTATTCAAGTGTGTCAAGTGTGTCTTTGCCTATTACAAAGTAAGCTATTTATACTACAAGGAAGATTAAGGTCCTAAGAGTTACAAGAGTGCACTTCAATTGAAGACCATTAATGGTTGTAACTCTTCATTAATTGGACATCCACTTAATGCATTTTCAATGCATTTGCAACACTCCCCCTTGGATGTCCATCTTTATAGAGTGATATGCCTCGTTAAAAATTTTGCCAGTAAAACCCAATGAGAAAAACCTGGACAAAGGAAAAAGAGTACACATCCATGTGAAGCTTGCGATCGTGAGACACTGCCTCGTTAAAAACCTTGCCAAGAAAAACCCAGTGGGATAAAAACTTGAACGAAGGAAAAAGAGTACAGTGTGTTAGAGTTAATGATCACGCTCCCCCTGATGTCGGCAACAGATCTTTGAGTCGACGCATTCCAATACTATGGACCATCTTCCTGAACGTTGTAGTTGGCAGTGCTTTAGTGAATAAATCTGCCAAGTTGTTGCATGACTGTATCTGATGAACGTCAATATCACCATTCTTTTGTAGCTCGTGAGTGTAGAAAAACTTGGGTGATATATGTTTTGTTCTATCACCTTTAATGTAGCCGTTTCTGATTTGTGCAATACAAGCGGCATTATCCTCGTAAAGTATTGTGGGTGTATCTCGTATTGAAGTCAGCCCACAATTTTCCCGAATATGTTGGATCATTGATCTCAACCATATACACTCGCGACTGGTTTCATGCAATGCCAGAATTTCTGAGTGATTTGAAGAAGTAGCTGCCAATGTCTGTTTCACTGAACGCCATGAAATTGCAGCACCGCCACAAATAAAAACGTAACCACTCTGAGATCTGCCTTTGTGTGGATCAGAAAGGTAGCCGGCATCTGCATAACCCACTACTTGGGATTCTGAATTGTTTGAGTAAAACAAACCCATACCAGTTGTTCCACGAAGATAGCGTAATACATGTTTAATGCCATTCCAATGTCTTTTAGTAGGCGCAGAGCTATATCTTGCTAATAAGTTGACCGAGAAAGCAATATCAGGTCTAGTGTTATTTGCAAGATACATTAGTGCTCCAATGGCACTAAGATAAGGTACTTCTGGACCAAGTAATTCTTCATTCTCTTCTCGAGGGCGGAATGGATCTTTCTGTATATCCAACGATCGAACAACCATTGGACTACTCAAAGGATGAGATTTATCCATGTAAAATCGTTTTAGAATCTTTTCTGTATATGTTGATTGATGGATGAAGATTCCATTGGACAAATGCTCGATCTGCAGGCCGAGACAAAATTTTGTCCTTCCGAGATTTTTCATCTCAAATTCTTTCATCAAATAGTTTGCGGTCTTTGTGAGCTCTTCAGGAGTTCCCACAAGATTTAGATCATCCACGTAAATCGCAATAATAGCAAAGCCACTATTAGATCTTTTGATGAAAACACAAGGACAAACTGGATTATTTATATACCCTTCTTTAACAAGGTATTCACTTAGACGGTTATACCACATTCTTCCGGATTGTTTTAAACCGTACAATGATCGTTGCAACTTAATTGAGTATAACTCACGAGACCTTTGTTTAAATGCTTCAGGCATTTTAAATCCTTCGGGGATTTTCATATAAATATCACTATCTAATGATCCATATAGATATGCAGTAACAACATCCATAAGGCGCATGTCAAGTCTCTCTGTGACTGCTAAACTGATCAAATATCTCAACGTGATTGCATCGATCACGGGGGAATATGTTTCATCATAATCAATTCCGGGTCTCTGTGAGAAACCTTGTGCAACTAGTCGTGCTTTATATCTCACGATTTCATTTTTCTCATTTCGTTTTCGTACGAATACCCATTTATATCCAACGGGTTTTACACCATCCGGTGTTTGGACTGCTGGTCCAAATACTTTACGATTTTCAAGGGAATTTAATTCAGCTTGAATAGCATTTTCCCATTTTGGCCAATCATTTCTATGTCGACATTCTTCGACAGATTTTGGTTCGGGGTCCTCATTTGCAATATCAATTGCAACCCCATAGGCAAAAATATTATCAATAACAACTTTATTTCTATCCCAGTTTTTTCTGGTATTCAAATAGTTTAAAGATATCTCTTCGGATATAATTTCTTTCTCATGATCCTCTCCAGGGGCATCATGTACTTTAGACTGATCAGTCACATTTTTCATAGCGCTTTCTTGTTCACAGATAATATTCTCTTCAGGAGAATTTACTTCTATTACCCTTTTCCTTCTAGGGTTCTTATCTTTTGCGCCAATAGGGCGCCCACGCTTCATGCGAGGTTTCATTATCTCTTCATGTTGTCCTTCAGGGACATCAACCCGTGCCGGGGTGTTTATAGCGGGTATATGAGATTTTGTTACCGTTTTCATATCGGTAAAAGCATCCAGCAATTGATTTGCAATATTTTGCAAATAGATTATCCTTTTTACTTCTTTCTCACATTGGTTTGTGCGTGGGTCAAGATGAGACAAAGACGGTACATTCCATGTAATTTCACGCCGTTCAACTTGAACCGACGATCTTTCTCCCCCTAACGGCGGGAAAATTGTCTCATCAAAATGGCAATCAACAAATCTTGCCTTAAACAAATCACCCGTCAGGGGTTCAATGTATCTAATTATAGACGGGGAATCAAAACCAACATAAATTCCAATTCGTCTTTGGGGACCCATTTTTGTTCTCTGAGGTGGAGAAATTGGAACATAAACAGCACAACCAAATATTTTTAAGTGAGAAATGTCTGGCTGCTGGCCAGAAACAAGTTGAAACGGTGAATACTTCTGAAATGAACTTGGTCTAATCCTGACCAATGAAGCAGCATGTAATATTGCATGTCCCCAAATAGAAGTGGGTAAATTAGACCGTAAAAGCAAAGGTCTAGCAATCAGTTGCAATCTCTTAATAAATGACTCTGCAAGTCCATTTTGAGTATGTACATGGGCAACTGAATGTTCAACATCAATACCAATTGACATGCAATAATCATTAAATGCTTGAGATGAAAATTCACCGGCATTATCAAGACGAATAGTCTTGATAGGATAATCGGGAAATTGAGCTCGTAATCTTATGATTTGAGCAAGAAGTCTAGCAAAAGCAACAGTACGTGTTGACAATAGACTTACATGTGACCATCTAGATGATGCATCCAATAGAACCATAAAATAGCGAAATGGTCCACAAGGTGGATCTATAGGTCCACAAATATCCCCTTGAATTCTTTGTAAAAATGTTGGGACCTCGCTATTAATTTTCATTGGAGATGGTCTTATAATTAATTTCCCTTGTGAGCATGCAATGCATACACATTCATGGGGCAAAAGAATCTTCTGGTTCTTTAAAGTATGCCCATATGAATTATTTATTATTCGACGCATCATGGTCGATCCTGGGTGACCAAGTCGATCGTGCCAAAGAGAGAAAAGTTTCGGATCATTGGACTTCTGGTCCATCACAATATTTGTTTCTATTGCGCTTATAGTCGCAAAATACAACCCTGATGAGAAAACTGGGAGTTTCTCTTTAACATGCTTCTGGCATGAAATATTGGTTGTAATACAAAGAAATTCCATATTCCCCTCATTCATAGTCTCGATATGAAATCCATTGAGACGTATGTCCTTGAAACTCAATAAGTTTCTTTTGGATTTATTAGAGTACAAAGCCTCTTTGACCAAAATATTCGTTC